CCCGTCGGCCTGGCAGCTATGTGGGCCCCGTTGCCAGCTCGTCGACGCCCGTCGCGTGGGCCTGCGGGCCGCTCTGGCCGCCATGTGGCCGCCGTCGCCGCCGGTCGCCTGGGCCTGCGGGCCGCTCTGGCCGCCATGTGGCCGCATCGTTGCCGCCCGCCGCCTCGTCGCCGCCTGCTCTGCACAGGTTCACCTTGCCAGTGCAATGTTTTGGATTGCAGTGCGTGGCACCGATTCCACCTATTTGCATCCTCAGCATTGCCTTACACTGGTTGTTGGCGTGGCGTTGCACTGATTTGCATTGGTTTGCATTGCTTTACTGCGTTGAGTTACAATGCTTGGCCTTACAAGGCATTGTGTTGCACTGCTCCTTACTAGTTTCCATTGCTTGGCATTGCTTTGCATTGCACAGCACTGCATCGCCTACACCACATAGCTCACACCATATAGATTGCACTTCATATAAGTTTAAATACAATACACACCACATAGATCGCACCACCTTCAAGGCAGGAGAAACCACCCGGACCCGACAATTGGCGTTTTTCTAAAAGGCCCTAGGCGTTTACTCAAAAGCCTTGCCCTGTTTGATTATTTCTTTAGGTGCGTTCACCAAACGGCCTCGCGTGTCGGGGTGGTTATTAGCGTGGTGTATGTTCTGCCCTCTACATATGGATTGCACCACATGCACTGCACCACATAGCTCACACCCCGTAGATACTGTTAGCCTCACGGCATTGACGTGAGGTTCGTGGCCAGTGTGGAACAAAAACGCTCACACCCCATTGATCGGACCATTTAGATGGCACCCCGTACCTGACACCACATAGCTCACACCATATAGATGAGCACGCTAGCTTCAACCAACCATGTTGCACCACACACCAAGTAACTTAAACCACTTGTAGATACTTTACAATGTATTCCCACATAGCGCCCACCACTCAGTTTACGCTTTCATAGATTTCTTCCTTTTTTCCCTGTTTTTTTTTTCTTTTTTCCCCCCCCCTGCCCCCCCCCCCCCCCACCCCCCCCCCCCCCCCTCCCCTCTCCAAAAGAGTAATAGATTCTACCCCCCCCCCGGACTTATCGCTTCCCCCGCGCGTGCTGTAAATCACATATGATTCTGACCACATGTCCATCCTAAATATGAATTCATACCATCCCAGCCAAGCCGGTATCCCCCCCCCTGCGGTACCCTGTCAAATAACACTATGCGGGTTCTTTCTAACATAACACTTTTTCACGAATCCTTGTCAAATAATACCATGCGGGACACATTCGCGCGCGCAAGACGAAATCCTTCCAAAACCTTAGTGTTCGTAACGATTTTAACATAAAAACATCAAAAACCCAACGGTTTTTCAAAATATATATATATATATCAAACATTCACCCCGCGCGCTCTTGCGGATTCTTAGGAAACCCACTACTTTTTCAACATTTCTGTCAAAAGGGCTCTTGCGAGCAACTTTTTCCTGCGCTTCGAACTTATTCAACAACGGCTGCGCGCCTGCCAGGGGCATGATCCTTGTCAAATAATGCCATGCGGGACACATTCGTTTTTTCTTCGCGCGCGCGCGCCGAAATCTTCAAAAACCATTGGGCTTCTTGAGCATTTCAGCACTGCGTATCATAAAAACAGACGAATCGCACCGTAGGTCCTCGAAAAAAACCTGCACGGATTTTCAAAATTTTGCCCGCTCGCGCTGTCCGAACCTTAAAAAACCAATGTTTTGTTTTTCAACATTTCGGTCGCACGAGCTCGTGCGAGCTACTTTCGCGCGCTCCTTCAACGACGTTCGCGCGCCTGCCAGGGCCACTGTCCGTGTCAAATAATACCATGCGGGACACATGCGCGCGCGCCGTCGTCGTCGTCGTCGTCGTCGTCGTCGTCGTCGTCGTCGTCGTCGTCGTCGTCGTCGTCGTCGTCGTCGTTGTCGTCGTCGTCGTCGTGGTCGTCGTCGTCGTCGTCGTCGTCGTTGTCGTTGTCGTCGTCGTCGTCGTCGTCGTCGTCGTCGTCCGTCGTCGTCGTCGTCGTCGTCGTCCGTCGTCGTCGTCGTCGTCGTCGCGGCGGCAGGGCGGGGAAAGGGGGGGCCCGAGGCTCGCGAGAATCGTGGTTGCGTTGGCCCGGCGCCCGCCCGCAGCTGGCCCGGCGCCCGCCCGCGTGGTCTCCTGCTGGATCGAAGGGCTTGCTAGTCGTCGTCGTCGTCGTCGTCGTCGTCGTCGTCGTCGTCGTCTCCGTCGCTGTCCTCCCTCCCCCCCCCCCCCGGAGTTAACGACCCCACCTGGGGTATTGCGATTTCATATATTAATTCTGCACACATGTCCATCCTAAATATGAAATCATACCGTCCCAGCCAGGCCGGTATCCCCCCCCTGCGGTTCCCTGTCAAATAACACTATGCGGGGATACTTTTTCTTATAACAAAACACTTTTTCACGAATCCCTGTCAAATAATACCATGCGGGACACAACCGCGCGCGCAAGACGAAATTGCTTTCGTCTTCTACTACGGCAGTACAGCGCCCGCCTGTGGGCGTCGCCGACGGAGTCAGCCACGCGCCGTTTGCGAGTGCCAGTCCTTCGGCCAGACCATGGATTACCACACCGAAGGATCGGACGGTGGTGTTCGGGGATTCGCCCCCCGGCACCATCGTCCAAACCCGAGGTTCCACTACTACCACCCCGGCCACCACCAAGGAAGCTTCGCTGGGTACTTGCAGCCACGGTCTGGTGAGTTTTGCTGACCAAGTTGCGGGTGGGAGGGTGGGATGTTTGCTCGAGCAATGGAGAAGACAATTTCAAGTTCAGCAAATTACTTGCATCACGTAGATTGCACCACATAGCTTCTACCACGCATCTTGGACCACATGCGTTGCGTCATCTGGCATGCTAGAGCACGCTGTTCGGGGTCCACGCAAGCTTACATGTATAGGTACGTTTATGTGTTTGTGTATGTATATGCGTATATCTGTATGTATACACACATACACGACTTCATTGACGCTTCGCGCCACGCACTTTCGTTCTTCAATTTCGGCCTGCGGGCGAAATGAGAGAGATGCAGATACGTAGAAACAGCGATACATGACTGCATGTCGCCGATTTCGCCGTCGTCGTACATCGCACGCCAGGTTCATTACTTTCGGCCAAGGCCCCGGGCCTACACATCCTCCTGGGATTTCACACCCCTTTTTGAGCACCCCCCTTCCGCGGCCTCCTGGGCTTCCCCCTGGCCGCTCAAAACAATTCCGGAGGGCGGGAATAAGCGACAAGAGTGGCCCGACAGGGCCCAAGAGCGGTTCGAACATTCCCAGGAGGCCCCGAAGACGGCCCAAGGAGGCCCCAACTATTACGCTTCTCAAGGGGGGCCCCAGGATGTCAAATTCGCCCCGCTCTATTGTAGGAAAACACACATTTCTAGCAGACTCGCCTGTTGCGTCTTCACAGCGTTCAAGACGGCTCAAGAGTCCCCCAAGATCGCCCCAAGACGGCCCACGAGGTTTTCAATAATGCCCCAAGACGGCGACGGGAAGCCCAAGACGGTTCAAGATAAGCCCAAGACTGCCCTCAAGATCAGCAAATGCCATGCCAGTGTTCGACGACAGCAGGACATTCCAAAACACAGCGAGTATGCCCCTCTGATTGACAAACTCCTGCCCGTTCCGCGGCATCGCCTTGGACGCCCAGCAGTATCTCGTTCACCCCTGATCGCCCGACGGTGCGCGAACGTTCGCTCTCGGGTGCTGACCCGTGGCCGAGGCCCACCCCGTGTTCCCGAACAAGGAGGGGTCCGGGGCGCGACAGCGAATCGGGCAAGGTCACGACGGTGCGGCAGGTCCGTGTCGTGTCGACACGGCGGCGACCACGCCGCGTGCAGTCGAGGTGAAATGCCGCCAGTGGCCCAGAACGGGCCGACATGGAACGACCCGGCGATCGGAAAGCCGCTGATCGTTCAAGGATGAACGATCCACGCGGTTTCAAAGATCAGCGCCGGGTTCGTCACGACACGAACTTGTTGCTTTTTCCCTAACACCGATTGGGCCGGGCCACTTGGCACAGCAGCCACGGCTACTGCAGCACCGGCACCCCAGGCGAAGGAGTTGACGGCGATGTACTACATCGCCGTCAACTCGTTCAGGAGGTACCTCCTACTAGGAGGTACCTGCCCACGTAGAACTTCTGGAGCGTGCACAGGCTCGGCACGAGCTGCCACGCGGCCTCCGCTCCGACGCCCCCGAGAGAGACGCCCCACGAGCGAGCACGGGATGCCTGGCCCACCGCCGTGGCACCGACAGTGCGCGCGGGGCCGCGAGACGGGCCGCGGAGGCGCTTGAGAGGAGGAAGAGGAGAAGGAGGAGGAGGAGGAGGAGGATCCGAGGAGCAAAGGGGTCATGATAATGGTACCCTTCAAGGTCTCTAGAGCTTCCAGGATTTGCCGAATTTCCTGCTGTTCCGCACGGGTTCCAGAAACGAGGTCCGCTAGATACTCGTGACATTCCTGGAACGCATCTTGAGACAGTCGCATCATGGCATCATGCTCGCCCTATGTAGAGGAGGAGGAAGAGGAGGAGGAGGAGGAAGCCCTAATTGCCAAAAGTGATCCTGAGAGAACCCTGATGGTCGATGCCTGCCATGGTGGTCTTGCGCCCAGTGGCCGCCGCAGGCCACTCCGGCCGAGGGCCATACCGCTTCCCGCGTGTTTGCTTGAGACGCTCTCTCCTTTCCGCCCCCCCCCCCCACTCCGCTGGAGGAGCAGGAGGAGTAGAGGCGGAGCGAGCGAGCGACCACAGCGCACATCAGTGCGACACGTCAGGAAGCGTGTGGTAAATTCTGCACCTGCGCACCCTGTGGCTGCTGAGGTGGGCGGCGCCTCCTCTTGCACAGCCGGCGGCGGCCCGTAGATCCTCGAACCATGCTGTCCTGCTCTGCGGCTGCCCGGGAGGGCTGGGAGGAGGAGCCTCCCCATTTTGCAGCTCCGTGCTTGCTCGGCCAGGCGCCGACGGCACGACGTCGTTCGAGTTCGTGGTGGTCCTCACCAGGGAGGAGCACGCCGAGTACCAGAGAAGGCGCCCTCCGCTCGTGCCAGCGGCGTGGGGCTGACGAGCAGCAGCAGGAGGAGGCACGGGCACGGCTGGTTCGTGCCGTGTCGACGCAGCGGCCACCCCAGCGCGTGCGTTCCAGGCTGCACGCCGCCAGTCTCGAGTCTCCTCCCCGCCGCGGGGGAAGAACAGCATCAAACACGCTTCACCGCCGCCAGGATCACCCGTCCCTGAGCGGCTGGGAGTGTATACCCCTACGGTTGCAGGTCGGGGCACGAAGTTGCCAGCCGCCCCCGGACCCGGGACAGGTGGCCCCAGGGGCAAAAACAGTTAGTTTCGTGCCGTTCCTCGCCCGCCCGTTCATCCTGCCCTCCAGGGCTCGAGCTAAACGGTGTTTTGTCAATTTCGTAGACCGTTTTCGTTTTGACGTCGTTTCGCAGCAAAGGAAAACGAAGGCATAACGAAAACGAAGATTACGGTTCAGCTCGAGCCCTGGTGTTTTTTGTATCATTCTTCTCCTCTTTGTTAATCATCATCAAGGGCGCCCTCAATGGTGCAAAGTCCTTCGCGCTTCACGGTTCCACTCATCCTCCTCATCATCCTCTTCTCCTCTGGGGGGGCGGCACGAGAGCGCGAAGTTGTTCGCGCAGCGCGATGTTAGGCGCCCTTGATCATCCCCCTCCGCTCCCGCAGTCAGTTCCCCCCTGCCCCGGGCTCGCGTCGCCTCTCAGGAGGGAAAGAAACAAACAGACGCAATGAACCGTCGACTCCCAGAAAAGGATGGGAAGATCTGGGACGCGGGGGGGAAGACACAGACCCCGAAGAGATGGGAAAAGCTGGGGGATCCTGGGATTTGCGTGTATTTGGCTGTGTGTCCCTGGGCCCTTTTCGCCGAAGGATTGCAAAAAAACGAAGGATTGCAAAAACGAAGGATTGCAAAAAAAACAATGGTTTTTTTGCGATCCTTCGAAGGATTGCAAAAAAACGAAGGGTTTTTGTTGCAATCCTTCGTCGAAGGATTGCAAAAACGAAGGAGTGCAAAACGGAGGGTTTTTTTTTTTTGCAATCCTACGAAGGTTTTTTTGCAATCCTTCGTTCAGGGTTTTTTTGCAATCCTTCGTTGTTTTGCAATCCTTCGTTCACGCCGGGGCCGGCTGCCTTCCGAGGCGGGGGCAGAAGCTCGGCAGGCTCGCGCCGTGCCGCTGCGGCGGCGGTCCCAGCACGGGCGCTCGAGGGCATGAACAGTCCTTCGGGTCCTCCTCCTCCTCCTCCTCCTCCTCCTCCTCCTCCTCCTCCTCCTCCTCCTCCTCATGGAAACAAAACCTCGGGCTTGTTCGAGGGTGCAGGAAAACCGAGGGTACACAAACAAAAAGAACCTCGGTGTTTTCCACCCTCGGGATTTTCAGACCCTCGTTTTTTTCTTTGTGCCCTCGGGCTTTACACCCTGGTTGTTTTATTCCCCCGAACGCCGCCAGCGGCGCCCAAGATCGGCCGATATCGAACGGTATACAAAAACAATAGTTTGATCCGCGGGTCGAGAGCGCACCTCTTCCGGTCGAAGCTGAGCGGGCCGCGCGAAGCTTGAATGAGGCGGAGGGAAGGGAGGGTATAGAAACACAACCCTCGGTGTTTTATACCCTCGGGTTTTCAGACCCTCGTTTTTCTTTGTGCCCTCGGGATTTACACCCTGTTTTTGTTTTATACCCTCGAACGCGGCCAGCGGCGCCCAAGATCGGCCGATATCGAACGCTCAGCGCTGCGGGGAGAGCCACGACCGTTCAAGATCGAGCGGTTCAGGCGGTGTCAGATTTGTTATTGCCATGTTTCTCCATCCCCGCATCCTCATCGCTGTGCTCTTGGCTCGAGGGGACCTTTCAATGGTAGGATGCGGGGCAACTGGTTGTCGCTTGTGGGCCTGGCATCGCTCGGACATGTGCATTTTTCCTTCGGCGAGGACCATCGAGGAGCATCCTTGATCACTATGCGAAAACACCACGCACGAAACCGAAAAAAACACAGGGAATGGACGTCCGAGCGATGGCGAGTGGGAGCCGCGGGGAGACACCGATGCAAGTGCTCTGGCGGCGGCACAGGGTGCCAAGCGCGAGGGCACGGCCAATGTTCGGCGAGGTGGCGGCGCTTCAGCGCAGCCTCGCTGAGGTGCTAGCGATCAAAACAAGGGAGCACCCACCAGACGGAGGCGAGCATCGACGCGTGCTTGACAACACTGGCCATTGAGTCGGGCAGCACGGTGAGACAGGCAGAGTAAGATACGTTGTATTGATTTCGGCAGCGAAGTCGAGGACGTCGAGTTGCTTTTGCTCACCCAGGACGGCCATGGGTGTGCGGAGTTGGGCGAGGTTCACGAGTTAAATTGCGAATCCGAAGTTCGGCACAGGTAGCGGCGTGTCTGGGATCGTGCATTCGTGCACACAGGAAACGTTAGATCCGAGTTTGCCGAAATTCGGATCCATCGATGCTCTGTTTGACGATCTTATCACAAGTCGTGACGATAGGGTTGTCGTGA